CCTGTATAGGGTTTCTGAGGAGCAGCAAGTAGGTATGAACTGCCGACCTTGTGGTTCTCAATCTTGTACTTATCCTACAGCACCATACCAGGAGTCCAACTCTATATAGTGATACAGAAAGGAAAGAGACCATATAGAAAGGAAAGAGTCCTCAGATAAGCAAAGCATGTTTAAGAAGAACAAAGTTGGAGGACTCTGATATCAAATTTTACTATACAGCCCCAGTGTACAATGAAAGATACATAGATCAGTGGAGCAGAATTGAGAACCCAGAAGTAAATCCATCCACATACAGTCAATTGATATTTAACAAAGGGTCAAAACATTAAATGGGGAAGAGATAGTCTCTTCAACAAATGGTGCTGGCAAAACTGGAAATCGATTTGCAGAAGAATGAAACAAAAGACCCATTTTTCACACCATATACAAAAGACCTAACTGTAAAACCCAGACCATCAATGAAAAAAAAAATAGGGACAAATTTAGGAACTCTGATACATGGCATAAATATACTACCAAACATTACTAAAAACACACAAACAGTAGAAGACAAAGTAGATGACTGAGATCTCCTTAAAATCAGGTGCTTGTGTGCCTCAAAAGATTTCGCTAAAGACTGAAAAGGGAACCCACAGACTAGGAAAAAAATTTTGCAACGACATACCAAACAAGGTACTAATCTCTAAAATTTATAGAAAACAACACTGGTATTAAAAAAAAAGACAATTCAATTACAAAATGAGCACAGGACATGAACAGATACTTCAGCAAAGACATTTAAGCAGCCAACAAACATATGAAGTTCAACCACTGTGGAAAACAGGTAGCACTTCCTCAGAAAGTCTTGTGGATACAGACCAAGTAAAGGGATTGCTGGGTCATACAGTATTTCTATTTCCAACTTTCTGAGGAAGCACCACACTGTTTTCCACAGTGGTTGAACCATTAGCAATGCAGGAAGGTCCCAGTTTCTCCACACTCTTGCCGGCATTTGTTGTTTTCTGTTTTTTGAGCTTTGCTTTTAATGCTGGTGTGAGATATCTTATTGTTGTTTTGATTTGCATCTCTCTAATGGTTAATGATCATGAACATTTCTTCATATGTTTGTTGGCTGCTTAAATGTCTTCTTTGGCAAAGTGTCTGTTCATGCCCATTTTTAGACTGTCTCCATCTTTTTGCTATTGTGAATGGTGCCGTGATGAACACTGGGGTCAATACATCTACTCGCATCCTGGCTAATATTTCATCGCAGCACCATTCACAATAACAAAAAGATGGAGACAATCTAAATGCCCAACAATGGGAGAATGGATAAACTAACTTTGGTCATATACACAATGGAATACTACGCAACGTTGAAGAATAATGTGGGATCTGCAGAACTCTTCTTAACATGAATGAACCTAGAGGACTTTATGCTGAGTGAAATAAGTCAATTACAAAAGGACAGATATTGTATGAGACCACCATTGTAAAATCGAAATGAATGATTTTTATTCTAAAAAAGAAAACATTCTTTGGTTACTAGGGGTGGGAGGGAAGGGAGAGTAATTCACTGACTAGAGGGTAGACACATATTCACTCCAATGATGTAAGTGCAATATATCAGAAGCAGAGGTGTAATATACAAGAAAAGGAAGGTTGGCAGAAGAATGGTGAAGACAGGTGAAGATATAGGGAAGGTGTGTATGGGCTAAGGGGGATAGAGGTAAATGGTGATATTTTCACAACCTGGGAACAAGAAAATGGGTATGGGAGGAAGAATGGGATTATTACCCACAAACATATGAGTTTGAAAGAAGATAGTGTTACATGGGTATTTACCTTTGCTGCAAACTCAACTATGAATGAGGTAGAACATATAGTGGGCAAATGATGAAAACTTAGATAATATCAACTATCTTATGGTAATGAGTTGCTGGGCCTGGGGGCTCAGAACCATAGTCTCGGGGGACACCATGATCAATTGGCATAATATAGTCTACAAAGATAGTGTTCTATATCCTACTTTGGTGAGTAGCATCTGGAATCTTAAAAGATCATGAGTGACCATCTAAGGTGCAGCTATTGGTCTCTCCATGTGCAGAAGAAAGAAGAGTGATGAGAATTGAAGATACTTGGAAACAGTTATGTCAACGGACTAATGGAACATGTGAACATCAGTCTCCACAGTTCTGAGACCAGAACTAGATGGTGTCCGGCCACCACTACCAATTACTCTGAAAAGGATCATATTAGAAGGTTCCAGATAGAACAGCAGAATATGTGGAACAAAACTCAAAAGTATTAATTTTTTTTAAAAGACCAGTTTACTGGTCAGAAAGAGACTAGAAGAACTTGAGACTATGTCCCTCGACCACCCTTCAGGTATGCAATGGAACTTACCCCGGTGGCTCTACTTTCAGCCAAGTAGTAAGTAGGTATGTAGAGAAAACAACAAGTCTAGTAACGTATGCTCATTATGAATGATGGAACTCAGTCAATGAAAATCAAAAGGACAATATTTACCTAACGACAAAGTTGAGAACGGATGGGAAGGTGGGTGGAATGGAAATAGGAACCACAGGAAGGAAGTGGGATAACTATTTGGAGGGGATTGCAATCATTGAGATGAAACAAAACATGTGATTTGTTGGATCTAAAATGTAGTTTTGTCTTTAAATCTTCACTAAATTCACAATATAAAGTTTTTAAAAATACGTCAAAACATCTTCAGACATACAATGTCATTAAAATTTTCATGTCCTCATACTTTCTATCAGGAAGCTACTGGAGAATGTGTTCCACCAAAAGAATGAATCAATCAAAAGTGAGGAAGACATGGACTCAAGGAAAAAGGATATCCAACTCATGAGAAAGCAGAAAGGAATCCCCAGAATGCTGGCCAGTAAAGGAGATCTGAGGGTCCAGAAGGCATGTGCCTAAGGAAATGAAACTGAGTTTGAATATATTAAGGGGATTTACTATCTTGTGTTATGACATTTCTCAGCTTTATTTCTGTAAATTGAAACAAGAAGCAGTCTTGAACTTTATTCCTGCACATGCCCTACAGACAAGTAGGTATTCAATTTTTATTATTATAAATGGAAGATTGAACTATCTCTATTTTACAGTGTAAGTTACATGCTGTCAAGTCAGTTCTGACTCATAATGACCCTGTAGAGCATCTCCAAGGAATGACTGGTGCCATTGACCTGCTCTTTGGATACCCTTTGTTGTTGTTGTTGTTGTTGTGAAGTGCCATCGAGTCGGTTCCTACCCATAGCGACCCTGGATAGAGTTTCCAAGGAGCAGCTGGTGAGCTTGAACCACCCACCTTGCAGTTCAAATGGCTTTGCAGTCTGGCGCATTAACCCACAGTGCCACACCAGGACTCCTTGGACACCCTAAACAGGGTCACTATAGGTCGGAACCGACTTGATGGCACTTAACAACAACAACCCTGGTATGAACTTCCTGTTGTGTGCTATTGAGCTGGTTCTGACTCAGCAACCCTGTCCAGGGGTCTCCGTGAGCCGCTGGTAGTTTTGAACTGCCAACCTTGAGGTTAACCTTATCCTTCAGTGCTTATCCCACAGGGCTGTTGCTGTTGTTTAGTGCTGTGGAGGTTCCAACTCATAGGGACCCTACTTAGGGTTTCCAAATAGTGGCTGGAGGGTTTGAACCACCAACCTTGTGGTGAACAGTCCAGTGTTTGTCCTACAGTGGTGGTTGCGGATTGGGTTGCTAACCTCAAGATCAACAGTTCCACGGGAGGAAAATGAGGTTTTTCTGCTCCCCTAAAGATTCACAACCTCGAAACCTGTTGCTGGAGACAGAACCAATTCTACCGCACACACCACCACCACTGCTTCAATTAGCTCCTGGTGGTGCTTTGCCTAGCCAGTCCAGCTCCTTGCCAAAACGTGGTTCAACCTACCAGCTGGTCTGTGGGGAAAATAGGATGGTAATCTGTTTCCATAAAGGTTCCAGCCATGGAGAACCCATGAAGCAGTCCTAGTCTGTCTTATAGACTCAGTTTGAGTAGAACTTGAAGGAGATTTTTAGTGGGGTTTTTGTTTTGTTTTTTTAGTCACTGGGGAGGCTTAAGGAGCCTGGTGGCACTGTGGCATAAACATTGAAGCAAAAGGTGGGCAGTTCAAACCCACCAGCCATTCTGCAGAAGATGAGGCTTGCTGCTCTTTTATAGATCTATAGCCACAGAAACTCTATGTAGCAGCCGCGATGAGTCAGAAGGCCGTAGAAGAATTGATGCATTTGAGTTATGGTGCTGGAATTAAGTACAATCAGAATGTTCCTCAGAAGGCAGGAGGCCAGGTTTCGTCTCTCTTACTTTGGACATACTGTCAGGAGGGACCAGCCCGTGGAGAAGGACATCATGTTTGGTAAAGTGGAGGGTCGGAGAAAAAGAGGGAGACCCGCAACTACAGGATGAGCACAGTGGCAGCAGCTACGGGCTCAGTCGTAGCATCGATTGTGCTTATGGCGCTGACCAGGCGGTGTCCCCTCCTGCTGCACAGAGGGTCACTATGGGTCGGAACCCACTGGACGACACTAACAACAGCGAGTGGGAACCGACTCGAGGACACAGGAATCGAAATGGACTGGAACGCAGCGGGGTTTTGTTTGTTTGTTTAAGTCAGGTCGTACATGCGCGGCGAAAGTAGGTCTTTCCTAACGTACCCTGTTTGATGCCCTTCGAGAAAAGCACATCTCGATCTTAAAGCGAAGGGTTTGGTTGTTGTCCTTTTGCCACAAGACGGCAGCATTCTCCTCTTGCAACCGTAAAACCAGAAGAACAAAACACCAGACTCCATCCTGAGTTTGCCTCTCATTTCCCTGTCAAATTAAGCACGTTCAGGTTCCCTAAAGCTGCAAGTCACCTGACCTCCAGAGGCAGCGCCCACCGAGCGCGGAAGTTCTCGTGAGATCGCTGCCGGAAGTGGGTGGAGGCGGTGCGACGCAGCGACCCACCTCTCCGGAAGGCGAGCAGTTCTCCAGAGCTGTTGCAGTCCGCGGTCTTAGGTTGCTGGCCCCTGAAGAAACGCTATCCCCGCCGAGGCTTTTGGAGCCTGAGTTCGAGCTTTCGTCTGCCCCGACTGCGTGGAGGTGCGCACCGACGCCTGGCCTGAGGAGTCCGCCAGCTCCTGCCTACGCGCTGCAGCTAGGCCGCGCCCTGACGCCCAGTACGCGGCGGCCCCTGCGGGTGATGCCAAACACAGCCATGAAGAAAAAGGTCCTGCTGATGGGGAAGAGTGGGTCGGGGAAGACCAGTATGCGGTCCATCATCTTTGCAAATTATATTGCTCGCGACACCCGGCGCCTGGGAGCCACCATCGACGTGGAGCACTCCCACGTCCGATTTCTGGGGAACCTGGTGCTGAACCTGTGGGACTGTGGTGGGCAGGACACCTTCATGGAAAATTACTTCACGAGCCAGCGCGACAACATCTTCCGGAATGTGGAGGTTCTGATTTACGTGTTCGATGTGGAGAGCCGCGAGTTGGAAAAGGACATGCATTACTATCAGTCGTGTCTGGAGGCCATCCTCCAAAACTCCCCTGACGCCAAAATCTTCTGCCTGGTGCACAAAATGGATCTGGTTCAGGAAGATCAGCGTGACCTGATTTTTAAGGAGCGAGAGGAAGACCTGAGGCGCTTGTCTCGCCCGCTGGAGTGCGCTTGTTTCCGAACCTCCATCTGGGATGAGACGTTGTACAAAGCGTGGTCCAGTATCGTCTATCAGCTGATCCCCAACGTGCAGCAGCTGGAGATGAATTTAAGGAATTTTGCCCAGATTATCGAGGCCGATGAAGTTCTGCTTTTCGAGAGAGCTACGTTCTTGGTTATTTCCCATTATCAGTGCAAGGAGCAGCGTGACGTCCACCGCTTCGAGAAGATCAGCAACATCATTAAGCAGTTCAAGCTGAGCTGCAGTAAATTGGCCGCTTCTTTCCAAAGCATGGAAGTCAGGAATTCTAACTTCGCTGCGTTCATTGACATCTTCACGTCAAACACTTACGTGATGGTGGTGATGTCGGATCCTTCGATCCCTTCGGCGGCTACTCTGATCAACATTCGCAATGCCAGGAAACACTTTGAGAAGCTCGAGAGAGTGGATGGCCCCAAGCACAGCCTCCTTATGCGCTGAGTATCACCAAATACTGTTGCTGAAGATGCTGAATTGCTTTTTTTGTTGTTGCACCTTCTCTTTAATGTTATCATGTTGTGTGCTTAAAAGTGGGCTTTGAAATGTGTGCTGTGTACTACTTCCACCCCTTTCTCCCTCCCCATCATCTCAGCATTGGGCGCTGTGGTCTCAGCTGTCCAGTAGAGCGTCAAAATAACCTTAATGCACAGTTGGTTTGCTGTAACACTAACGTGGTTTGTGTGTGGGTTCTAATGGAAATGCACATCAGAGCCTTTACCAGTATCTTTCTGGATTCCTTATTAGATTGCAAAGAGGGAATGTTCACTATTTTATCAGCGAGGAATTAAAATGCATTTATAAATTGCTTTTGGCTTCAGTCATGAATAAATATTTTTGAGAGCAATTTAAAATAAGCTGTTCATGCAAGTAATTAGAAGGTGGTTCATATGTCAGTGGGAAGATTCTGGCTGCCCACAACTATTGCTATGCTGGCAAGTTTTTTTTTGCCTTTTTTCTAGCAAATATGATTTTGTAATCTGAGTCCTAATCTCGGACGTTTCATGGCAGCTGTTAACAGTGAGTGGTTCAGAGCCTGACTGGAGCCTGACCACCTGGATTGCATTCATCATCTGGTTCCATCACTTAGAATTGCACTGTGCTTGTTTCCTTGATGGTAAAATGTGGGTATGAATAGCACTACTGCATGGGATTGTTCAAAGACTTAAACTTTGGAAGCATTTAGAATAGTACCTACCACACAGGACAGTGTGTCAGCTCTCATGTGAACACTACTGGACCATTTCTCCCCAACATTACTGTGAAATATACCTAACTACAAGAGGGTTTCAAAAAGTTCCTGGGAAAAGACCATTATCTTTGTTTTTTTCTATGAACTTTTTGAAACCCCCCCTGTATGTAAACCCTTACTAGATGCCAGGTATCCCTATATGGTTGATGTGTATTTATCTCACTTGATCTTCACAATCCATGAGGTAAATTATAAATGAGAAAACTGGCAGAGGTTTACTACCTCTATTAAGTTACACAGCTGAATACAGGCAATCTGACTGAAGATCCTTTCTGTCTCCCAGCCATTACACCCAACATTCTATCTGAAATTGACAGAAAAGTTCTTCATACAAACCCTATCTTTTTAGATATAGATTATTCCTATAATATAGTTCTTTTAATTTTATAGACAGAAAGTTGAAGCTCAGGGGAGTTAAGGAAATTCCCCCAATGAAACAGGGTTTAATTCACTTTGGCAACATCACTCTCCCATTTGTATTTTTCTAGAAGTCTGGATTAATAATGAATCAGATTCTTAGAATGCATACTTTTAGGAGAGGATTCTAAGACTCTCCATTCGGATTAGCAATGTGGTGTAGTAAAGTCAGAAAACAGACATAATGCCCTGTTCCAACTCTCCAATAGATGCTTTACAGATAAGTTTTCAATGAAACCTAAAAATTTTCATTTGAGAAGAATTCTGGTTGTACAGTGGTTAAGCACTCAGCTGCTAAATGAAAATGTGGCTTGAATGCTACAGGAAAGATTGTGACAGTCTGCGTCTGTAAAGATTACAGCCTTGGTAACCCTAGGTGGCATTTTTACTCTGTCCTATGAATTGGAATCAATAAAGGAGCTCTGGGAGCGTAGTGGTTACGAATCGGGCTGCGAGCCACAGGTCAGCAGTTCGAAACTACCAGCGGTTCCATGGGAGAAAGATGAGGTGGTCTGCTCCCGTAAAGATCTACAGCCTCAGAAACCCTGTGTAGGGTCGCTATGAGTCGGAACTGACTCCACGGCACATAACAACAAAAATGGCATTAACAGGTTTGGGGTTTTTTTGTTTAAATTTCATTTTAAAGGGAACTCTGATTATTTAATCTTCCTGGTCTCCCATTCTACAGATGAGGCAATGTACAGACATTAAACATAAATAGTAAGCCTTTAGAATTTTCAAGGCTTTAATAAGTTATTATTAAACCCTTTCTAGCTATGGATGACAGGTCCCCTCCCCATTAAGAGCACTAAGTTACTCAGATGTAAAATACAAAACACATCTAATTAGGATATTGGCAATAAGTTAGTATAAATTTGAATCACTGAACCTTTTGTTGATCAGTTATACACATAATATGATCATTTTATGGTTTTCAAGACATCATTCTTTTTACTGATACTCTGTGTGTTGTTAAGGAGCTCTGGTAGCGTACTGGTTATGAGTTGGACTGCTAACCTCAAGGTCAGTAGTTCGAAACTACCAGCTGTTCTGCAGGAGAAAGATGAGGCTTTGTGCTTAAGAAAAAGATTTATAGCCTCGGAAACCCTGTATAGGGTCACTATGAGTCAGAACCAACTCCACGGCACACCACCACAAACATCCTCGTGTGTTGTTGGTGCCATGGAGTCAGTTTTGACTCATAATAACCCTATAGGGTTTCTAAGGCTTTAAATCTTTTTCTTGAGCACAAAGCTTCATCGTTCTCCCTTGGAACAATTGGTGGTGGGCTTGAACTGCCAACCTATGTGGTTCACGGTCAAGTACTTATCCTGTGGAGCCACCGTACTCCCTGATATTACACGGGAAATACTAAAACATGATGGTGTAATAGTGGTGGTTATGTGCCATGGAGTTGGTTCCAACTCCTAGCGACCCTGTACAGTGTTTCCGAGGCTGTGAATCTTTACAGGAGCAGAAAGCCTCATCTTAATCCAAAGGAACAGCTGGTAGTTTTGAACTGCTAACCTTGCGGTTCACAGCCCGATTCATAACCACTACACTACCAGAGCTCCTTATGATGGTGTAATACTGAGTATTTATTCAAGACTGTACAGTACATGGAACATTAAGAGTCCCAAAGTGAATTCATATTCTAAACTTAAGCCTGTGGACTTGACTTTCACAGTACTTAAGAAGAAAAGTGAGCAAGCATGTATCTGTAACTTAAACAGTTAATTTTATTTTAACAATACTTTACACTGAGGGAAATGCCCTTAATGTTTTATTTTCTTTCTTTTTTAAGCACATTCAAAACAGAATGATGGCGATTGCTTTTATATTATACATCTTAAGAATTCCGGCTTTTCCTTTAGATAAAGTTGACTCTGTAGATCATGGGGTTAAGAACGACATGGTCAAGAAAGTTTCAGAATGTCAGTATTTTTTTCAGTTTCAGTTAAATACTTCCAAATGTTTTCTCTTAACTTTCAATATTCTTTATTCCACTCGATAGCATTTTTCATATCAAACAACAGCTTATGCTTGTCCTGTTAAACATTTAAAACATTTTTTGCATTACCTAAGGTTTCAAGTTGAAGATATAGAAGTCAGTTTGTTGTCAAGTGCCATCGAGTCAGTTCCAACTCATAGTGACCCTTTATAGGGTTTCTGAGGAGCGGCTGGTAAGTTTGAACCACTGATCTTGCGGTTAAAACCAACCTTTGGCGGAGTGCTTATCCTACATCATCACACCAGGGCTCTAGAAGTCAGTTTACACACACTTGTTATTAAAATCAGTGACTAAAACAATATTTTGTATAATTTGATATGAATGTAACGAAAATGTATGTACAGCAATAAATTAGATTTTTTTTTACCATTTCTTAAATTCAAGTAGGAGACAGTGCCAATTTTGAAATCTTAAGTGCCACTGAGACAGTTCCAATGCATAGTGACCCTCCTGTACAGGGTTTCCAAGGAGTGGCTGGTAGGTGCCAACCTTGTGGTTAGCAGTCCAGTGCTTATCCCACAGCATACCATGAATAGTTGCCTAAAATGGTCTATGACCCTTGGTATATATGAGGGGACTTCAAAAATTTCATGGAACAATGGAATTAAAAGATACATGTATGTACAGAATTATATAATTACAACCATGAAAAAATAAGAATCACAGATTTCAAAGAAGGGATAGGCACATGGCTATGGAAAAGACACATTAAGACTTCATTGTAGAAAATATCTTAGCTATTCCACCAGCTTCAGGGAACTGGGAATTTCTAAAGGCCACGTTCACATTTCATTTCAGTGAAAATCAGAAGAGCATGGTGGAAGGGAAAGGAGACACATTTAGACCTTATTGCAAGGTCAGTTTGAACTGCAAGGTCAGCTGTTCAAGCTCACCAGCTGCTGCTCAGAAACCCTGACAGGGTCACTATGAGTCAGAACCAACTCTAAGATACGTAACGTATATGCCTTTGAATAGAGTCCTGGTGTGATGCTGTAGGATAAGTACTGGACTAAAAGGTGGATTTGAACGGCAAGGTCAGTGGTTCAAATCCACCAGCTTCCACCTTGGAAATCCTGCATCAGAACCCAATCAATGGCACTTAACAGTATGCTTTGGAAGAGTCCTGGTATGGCACTGTAGAATTTAAGCACTGGATTGCTAGCCACAACATCAGGAGTTCAAACCCACCAGCCACTCCTTGGAAACCCTCCACAGGGTTACTGAGTCAGAACTGACTCAACAACACTTAACAACCATATGCCTTTGAAGGAGCGTAGTGGGTTAGGCATTGGGCGGCTAACTATAAAGGTCAGCAGTTCAAGTTCACCAGCCGCTCTGTAGGAGAAAGATGAGGCTTTCTGCTCCTGTAAAGATTTAGTCTTGGAAACCCTATGCAGGGTTGATATGAATTAGACCCCACTCAGGAGTATGCAGCAACAATAGCATATGCCTGTAGATGTGAGCTCTATCTTGGAATCTGCTGTGAACCATTTTTGTTAACTGCTGATTCGGTACCAGAGGAACAGCTGGAGAGTTTGAACTACTGACCTTGTGTTCAAAACTACTGACATTGCAGCCCAGTGCATTACCCTTCAGTGCCACACCATTATTGGAAACCTAAGCATTTAAGTGACTTAAAGCCGTCCCTTATGGCCAAAAGACAACTAAGCAGGTGGCAGTGGTTATGGGAGGAGGCTAAAGGCAGTAAACTATAATCAGTGGTTTAAGAGATTTGAGACATTTACAGCACAGGTATGCATACTTAATGTGAACATTAAGTGCTATTTAGTCAGTTATAACTTATAACAAACCTATATAGGGTTTCTGAGACTGGTGGGTTTGAACCACCAAACATATGGTTAGCAATACAATGTCCGTAATTTTTGCTCTAAGTGCCATCAAGTAAGTTCTGATTCTGTGACCCTGTGTAGGGTTTCTGAGGAGTGGCTGGTGAATCTAAACTGCTGCCCTTGTGGTAAATAGGCGTGTCCGTATGTTCTGTGAGATAAGACATAATTTGAACATTGTGTGAACACCATATTGTATAAGGGCAATTTTCATATAATTTATACTTAATAAAAGGAGCTCTGGTAGCATAGTGGTTATGAATCGGCCTGTTAACCTCAAGGTCAGCAGTTCGAAAATACCAGCTGTTCCGTGGGAAAAAGATGAAGTTTCTGCTCCCGTAAAGATTTACAGCCTCAGAAACCCAGTACAGGGTCACTGAGTCAGAACCAACTCCACGGCACATAACAACAATCCCTTTAAACCTTTGAAAACTTTTTGGGAGTATAATCAGACAAAGCCCACAAGGAGGCTGGCCTTGCCAGGTGTGCAGCTGGGTCAGGTAGAAGCTGTGCTGGCAGCCAAACCAGGACTTTGCCCTCATCTAGGCAGAAGTGGGCATCCAGATGGAGACAGATGTGGAGGGGGCAGCCTTCTAGAGGTGACCACAGGCTGGGTAGCAAGTGGGTGCTAAGAGCACCAGCTGATGGTAATAGTGTTTGCTGCTTTGCCCTGTTGATAGGACCACTTCCGGATTCTGGGCAGCCACCACTGCCGAGGACGAGCCAGCCCACCAGGGCCTGCAGCACGAGTGAAGTCATCACAACAGGCAGTAAGCACCATGAGCTGGGAGCCAGAGGCTGCATTGTACGAATGAAACCAGGTCCAGTGACTGGGGAGTACCATTTTACTGTGGGGGCTTGAAAACCATTAAGATATATTGAGTTGGTTCCGATTCATAGCAACTATTTTCAAGGATGGTATGTTGGGTTTGAACTGCCGACCTTGCGGTTAGCAGTCCAGTGCTTATCCTACAGTTCCACTCCATTAAGGGAGAATAAAAAAGGAAAGCAGTCTTCCCCTTATATGTAGTTAGATTTGCCCAGATGTCACACATTGCATACCTTGTAGTAACATGAAAGACAAAGGAAGAATATATAAAACCTTCAGCCTATCACAGGTGTATAGCTCATTCGACATTGTGATTTTATAAATCAAATAAATGTCCAGAGACATTTTGATGTGTTCTAATTCTCAGGCCTCCTATACTTTATTGACCATGAACTTCCCCATCAGTTACCGATCTGAATATGCATTAGTATAGCTGCTTCTCAAAGGTACCCCAGGGCTAACTATGACTATAATCAAACTTTTTATTCAGTCTAATGAAACAGATTCAGAGCTTTGGTAGCATAGTGGTTATGAATCAGGCTGCGAACCGCAAGGTCAGCAGTTCAAAACCAGCTGTTCCGTGGGAGAAAGATGAGGCTTTCTGCTCCCGTAAAGATTTACAGCCTCGGAAACCCTGTACAGGGTCCCCACTATGAGTCGGAACCGACTCACGGTACATAACCACCAATCCCCATTTTAGACCTATACATTTTTAAAATGAATGCCAGAGTATTCTAATTCACGTGGTTCAAGTTCATTTTAGGTAATTTAAACTTCCTAAGCTTCAGTCTCTTAATCTGTAAAAGAGGTATAACTGTTGTGTTAGGTATAACGATGAAATTCAGTGTGTGCCTAGCAATGGCCCTGGCACTTTATAAATGCTATTGACAGTGGTGCTGTGAGTTAATGTGTTGGACTGCATTAGTGGTTCAAGCTCCCCAGCCGCTCCTTGAAAACCCTATACAGAACTGATTCAACAGTGCTTAACAACAACCTTCTCCTTAGCATGCTAATTTTGGATTCCTTAACGCAGACTAAAGAATGTTTTCACAATAAACCTACCAAACCCTAAAACAAAACTTGTATTAACCATATACAGGGTTCCCAGAATTTAAATCTTTACAGGCACAGGAGCAGGCAGCCTCAACTTTCTCCTGCTGGTGGGTTTGAACTGCCAACCTTGTGGTTAACAGTCCAGTGCTTACACAGTGCCACTTTCTTCTTTTCTCACAAGACTGGCTTTTCAAACTGTTTGTAGAACCATGAGAGAAAGGTAGCCCAAAATAACGAAAGGTAGCCCAAAATAGGTGAAAAGAGATGAACTATTAAGCCCATCTTTTTCCAAAACTTTTCTCCTGTCCATGAAAATTTCTTAGGGGTGAGTGGACAAGGTTGTGATGGGATTTTACAGAGGTGGAATGGCTATAAGTGCCATCACCCAACTTCTGTTCCAATCCTTCCGGTTCAGAGGGCAACAGCGCAGTTTCAATTGGGTGCTCTAGCTAGAGATAAGCCTTTTCCTGGGCCAGTGGCCCTCTGATTCCCACTCAGAATCCAGAGGCCAACAGAAGGCCTACTCTTGCAGCCTTATGGCCTGACCTTTTAGTGGCATACTTCCACAAAAACAAACAAACCCATTGCTGACAAGCTGATCGTAGCTTCAAAACTTACCATTACAACACTGAAGAGTTATTTAATGACAATTCAATATTCTCAAGTTATTTTAGAAACTATTCTGTAGGCAGATAGGAATTTTGATGGTTATTGAGCAGGAAACTAACACAATCAAATCTGTATCTTTTCCAAACAACAGTACCTGCCTCCCACCACCAAAAAACAAAAACAAAACAAAAAAACTTATCAAATTTTTCATTTATTTTTTTCTGTTAAAATATAAAACAAGGATAAAATTAAACTCTCAAAGTCTAAATTAGACCAAATATAAAACTATTGTATTAACCCACTGAATGGATTTGTAAGTGTTCCATCATTTTCTTTTTGAAACATGCCCTGGTGCCAGTATCACATGTATTTGTATCACATGTACTTCACCCCATCAGGCATCACTGCTCCTATCAGTAACCAACCCTACTGAGGATTTTCCCAATCTTAAATTCTGTCATCTTGACTACACTCACAAGGCACTATTTTTCTCACATTTTTTGTTAGTACCAGAATGTTCCATAAAGAAACAAGTTACATATTTGTCTAAAAGGAAAGGTCAGTATATCTAATGGCTATTACATTAACCACTTAATGAATGAACATCAAAAAAAAAATGCTCATTCTTATGTTAACAAACTGAATTATAACAAAATAAATTAAACTACAACTTCTGTCATTTTCTTAGTGCTTACATTATTTAAGATGTCTTTGTATAACTCTCCATTTTACTTTCCACAAATACTTCATGTCAACTGTTTGTTCCTACTACAAACTGAGAAAATCCCTATCTAAAAATAATACAGGAGGTTAAAAGGCATTTAAGAACTTTTAGACTCTGAAAAAGCAAGTATACATTTCCAATTTAGACTTAGTTTTTATTCTGTGACATAACTTCAATTTCAATGCATCATAGTTCAATTAGCTTCTCTTTTCAAGTCAGACGGAGACTTTCCTGCATCAGGACTCTTATTCCGGATTTCTTCTTCTGCAAAATTGATTAAAAATTAAGAAAATGATAAGCAAGCATTACAAAGTAAAGTAAATAATATAAATTCTAGATAGTAGCAAATTTCAATGTTCTTAAAGTATCTTTTTCCAGGGTGATGTACAGTGAAGCTATACCATCAGAAAGATCTGCCCTAACATGCTGGTGTGGTGCCATAAGATAAGCACTCAACCTCAAGGTCAGTCTGAACCACAAAGTCAGAGGTTCAAACACACCAGCGGCTCCTCAGAAACTCTATATAGGGTCGCTGTGAGTTGGAACCGACTTGATGGCACTTAACAACAATATGGTACTAGAGCCATTTTTATAAACTCTTTATCATGGAACATTTCAACATATACAAAAGTA